TTGTTTCAAAACCAGAGCTCTGTTTGCCTTAATTTTATCATGGTTACTGTTGACATGTTAAGAGGCTGTCATAAACTCCTCTATATGTATGAATGTATACCTAAATATCTTAAAAGGCAGCTCTTATTTTTACAGTAAGAAACCCAAAACAAAGATTAAATCACGTAAACGGGAATTTAAAAAAAGAGGATTCTTAAAACAAATGTTAAACAGAAACAGTCTGAATTGACCATATTCAATCAAAGACCCATAAAGTAGAACAATTTTCTGCTTTTCAGTAGATTTTTAACCCAACTTACATTTTTTTTTACAGAAATAGACTGAATACATTTTCACCAGTACCTAATCTACAGTTTTCAACAATTTCGCAACTGATACAGATGTTATTGGATCGGTGCTTCTCTACTCAATCATCAGTGTTGATGCTGTTGGTTGTATATTACTCACTACAAAAAGGTTAAACAACCCACTGGACTTTGTCTCCAAGTTTAGAGATGTTCGGTTCCCATCCAAGAAGCTTTTTCAATTAAAAATGTCAAAATTAGTGTTGAGGCTTAATAAAGTGGACCATAGAGTGGTTTTGGTTAACTCTGTAAAGCCTCAAATTTGAATTTGAATTGAAAAAGCTTCCTGGATGGGAAGCGAAACGTCTCTAAACCAAGTCCAGTGGATTGTATAACGTTTTTGGAATGACTATGACCAGGATGACTGAGACTCTTCCCCAGTCTATTACTCACTATTACATTTTTATTACATTCTATTACAACTTCCTATTATATAAGCAAGTTTTTTTACAGGATGAAATAAGGCTAACATTTAGAATGAATTAAGAAGCTTTTAAAATGAGCATTTAAACGTTCTGAATTGAAAGAGGGTAAATCTAAATATATTGTTCTGCTTTTTTCTTTGTTTTTGTACTTCGATAGTCTTACTGATACAAGTCGTGCTCTGGTGGTTGATTCTGATGGGCAATTAATTACTGTGCCAGTAAACTATCAGATCTATCACATTTGGTTCTATCAGGATATTTAGTTCTACCTTACTCTGAGTGATTATTTGAATATGTTCTGATGAATGTCACTGGACACATTAAACAAGCGGGTTTAGAGATGCATTAGCGGAAAATATTTAGTTTCTTTCTTCTCTCTTCTGGTCTAGAGTCATAGTTCTCTTTAGTCTGCTGGCTGAGTGGTCGCAGAGAAGCAGGATGTTCCAGAGGGCCTGCACACATTAAAGACATTTTCCTGTATAAGATTTTTATTTTCAAATCCTAATCAAGATGGTCCAAATAATTTTGGTCCAGATCCAGTCAGTGGGACGACATTTGGATGCCTCCGCTGTAGAGAAAGAGTTGTGACAATGATGTAGTTTATGTCAGCTGACCTCATCGCAGGCTTGTCAGGTAGGACATGGCTCACCTACTTTAGCTCATCACACTCCCATCTCTCCCTCTTTCCCGTCCTATTTTTCCCTCCTTCCCCTCGTCCGTCTGTCTTGCTTCTCTCTGATAGCTTTTACCGCTCTGCTGATTTCACAAATAGGCCTCATTGATTGAATCAGATTCTTGTGGATAGAGCTGCTTTATTGAGTGGCTTTTCCACTGATGGACAGCAACACCAGGGTGTGTAAGTTTGTCGCACGCATGTGTGAATGGGAGGCTAAAGGAAAAACTTCCTCCCCTCGTTCCCCTCATTCTCTTCCCCAGCATCTCTTTCTCTCTGAGGTATTCTGCAGTCGGAGGATTACAAACTCTCGTCTCGTCTTGCAGTCACAGAAACAGCATCCTCTGAGTGATATGCGCATTACGGGTCCTTCATGCTGACTGAGGAGTGTGTTAATTGTGCCGACACCCTGAGCACGTTAACATTAAACAGAGAACTGCTCTTCCCAGTGTTGTTCATCATTCATTAAAGGAGGCTGCCCCTGAAAACCTGAGGAGACGTGATGAAAGTTGGTCCAGCTTTATGAACAGCAGAGTCAGCAGCATCATCCTTTGCTTTATGATCCTGTATGCGTTCACTTTGACTTCATCATCTGTCGTTGAATCTCCTTCTCACATCCTTTATTTCTGGAAGACTTTTCCTGATCTAGATGGTAGACTGCAGGAAATGTAGAGGATTTAAAAGGATACTTGTTTGCTCTGTAAAAAGTATGAATTTGATTTTACCACCTGGTATAGAAGTAGCAAACAAAGAGTGGGGGGGGGGGAATGGCCATCCATACATTTGTTTTTTTGAAGCAGTAGTTTGACAGCAAGTTTTTCAACTAAACTTCTAACTAAAGTTCAGTTCTTCTCTGGAAATCTGATTGTTAATTTTGGGCTGAAAATGAGTGTAAAGCTGGTTTTAATTATTTCTTAGAGAATATCAGCTTGTTTTCGATCTAAACAATCGGTAATCCATCAGTGTTGGCTGGCTTCATTGACAAACTGTTAGTGAAAATAGGGCTGTATCATCTCTTCCACAGAGCAGCAGGCTCCTCATACTAACTGCAGGAGCTGAGCTCCTCTCGTCGTTTTGTCCTCTATTTTGCCTCCTTCCTGTCGCAACAGGCAGCTTGCCACCTAAACTGAGCGGGATGGATTGCGGTCCCTTTGTGCCGTGTGCCTGTTTAACCCTCACAGACCTGGACATCTTTCACAATAAAGAGCACATAGATGCACATAAGCTGCTCTTTATAGAAAATATATCCTGTCTGGATGTCCTGATCTCTTACTGAGCAGAATGTTCCTCAGACAGATTCTCACCTCCTGCAACCCTTCGAATATGAGGAAAGAAAATGTTTTGATTTTTGCAGCAAAAATATGTGGTTCTCTGCCCTTACCCTGCAAATGCACCAGCTTTACAAAGACAACATAACATTTATCCAATTTCGTGTTCACTTCTTTTTCTTCCTTTTTAAAGTTTCCATTGGGCATTAGGTTTGTTTTTTTGGGGATACCCACTTTGTGACGTATTGTCTGCATAGTCTTATAGGCTTTGATACAACACAATGACAGAGATTAAACTTGGGCTAAGAAAAATACACAGTTAAGAATTTGAAGTATGACTTTATGTTCTAGAATGTCTGGCCTACTGTCAGTGAATTAGTGGCAAAATGTTGATATATTTTAACAACCTTGACATAATTACTGGTCTGACTGGTTTTCTCTTTCAGCCAGTACAATATATTAGTTGGTTAATGATTAGTTGATTGCTAAATTAGCTGACGATTATTTATAATAAGTTCAATCAGTTGTTTCAGCCCTGATATGCTTATAATTTTACATTTTTTGTCTGGCTGTATAATATTATGATAAGCTCTTGTTATCCTTGTTTACAATGAACCCAAATCAAGTCTATCCTATGAGCCTTTGAGTTTAAGTTGGAAAAATTTACTCTAATATGCACTGAATTTAGGAATCCAAAGGGAAATGCCTAATATTAACTTCAATTCAAACTTTTTGGCATTTTTGACTCCTCCAAGGGGAAGCTGAACAAAGTTTGAGTTTTAGAAGTTTCTGATAAATTAATCATAGTTGTTGAGTAATTCATCAATTTAGCCATGTGTGCCTGGTGACCTGTTATCCTAGTTAACAATTATTACATTGCTAATAATGTCCCTTTTTGCCAGCTGTAGTTGTAGCACAGATTGAGACCACTTTGCTTGCTGTTGAGGTTGATGCCTTATAGTTACAGATTATTGTAAAATCAATACTTTTTGATGCAGATCCAGTTTTTTCTGTTAAATGCACGGCAGATGTAAGAGAAAACTACACAAGCATTTGTTTTATTGTTGGTTAATCATCTACCTTGATCCAAAATCTTTGTGTTTCTAATGGAAGAGTGAAATTATCCCCCAGGTGTTTTTAGAAGAAAGCGGTTACATCTCAGCTGAGGAAAATGTTTGGGTGGAAGTTCTGCGATAAACTAAACGTTGCAGCTGAATAAAGCCACTGCTCTGCAGACTCTGTCTTGTATTTAGTCTGGGGAGACCAGCCTCTGTCAGTCTCTTTCTCTCACTGTGGCTGTGTTGACGAGGGGTCTCAGGGGAGGACTTAACTCTGAGCCCTCTTTTCTTTCTTTTTTTTTCTCCCTCCTCTCTCCGCATCCATTCTTGCCTTATCATTCTCTGAATGCAACACGCTGTTGTTGAATTACGAATTTGTCGACGCGGCTCTGTGTTGATGGATTGAATAGAGGAGTGTCTGCTGCCTTTTATTTCTTCCCGTTGCCCATCACATGAAGATGCAATGTGCACAATGGAGCAACCAGTCCCATATTCTTTTTTATGGGGGGGTAGTATATAAAAGGTATTAAATCAATAGTTGCTTAAGGTTGGACTGATGTCAGTAAAGCTTACCGTTATCGCTTTTGTTCTCTTCACTTTGGAAAATGATTCAGATAACAGCCCAGCTTAAATATGATGCACTACCTGTAAAATCACAGGGCCTTTTCTGTTGTCATGGTTATTGAGTGTGTGGTTGCTCGGGGGGGAAATGGAGTTTCAAGGTGTTGGCGGAGGGAGGGAGGAGTAGACGGGTGTTAGGAGGAGGGTGGGGGTGCTATCTTAATTGCTTTCCGTGAATAATTTCAGTCTCCTAATTTGGCAATAATGACAGTGGCTGCTGCTTTTGTATTTATTTATCCAAACATTAATTGACAGGACTGACATTAGCTAGGGCGGTTTTTGCAAGTTTGATTGCGCACAAGGGAGCAAAGAAAATTACAGTAATTATCATTCTGATATGGATTATGAATATGAATTCTCACACTTAATGTCTCTGTCAGCATTTTAGCAACAACAAGCCACTCTGGAATGACAACGGCACTTTAGCTTATCCCCATCCATGTCTGACTAAGCCCAGTCCGGGCAGCACTTGTAGAGAACATTATCATGTCGTGTTCGAATGATTCAGCAGCTCTAGTGGAGAGAGGAAACCAGCTGACATGAAGGTTCCTTCTCTTGTTGGGATTAGCTTCTGGTTTCTGTAGCTGAAATATGTATTATTTTATCCTCAGGCTGAGGGGGAAGACAATTTGAAGAAGATGCAGCTGATGGAGCTGGCTATACTCAACGGGACGTACAGAGACAACAACGTCAAAACACGTAAGTCATGTGAAGGATCTGCTTGAAAGCGTCCCTGGCTAATATTCTCATAACATGCACCATGTTTTAACCAGACCAAACAAGTCTCTTATTTGAAAACTAACAGCAGATTTACTTGTAACAAGATTTTATGTTTCCATGCTGTCATATTAACTGAGACCAAAGCAGACGTCAAACCAACATTATGTCGAAGCTACACCTGATGTTTTTTACCCTCTCAACAAGTATCCATTCATCCTGTCCTTTTCTATCCATACAAAGGAGCTTCTCAGTAACTTTGATATCATAAAAAGTGAAACTTATTTCAGTAATTAATTAGAAGAATATAGTAGAAATAGCTTTGACAGTGCTGTAGCCAAATTATATTGGTAGAAAGTTAATTGGAAGGAGAAACTGTGGTAGAAAAAAGTGGAAAACACTAAAAGAAATCCACACACCAAGTAACCAAGATACTTGTTAACATTTCAGGAACCAAACATGATTATCCGGTTTCCTCCTAGGCACGTCTACTTTAATCTTTTTGTATGTTTTCATATGCATTATAAAATGTATAAAATAGGCGATCTTGATCCTGTGGATATTTAATTTCAATCTTTTCTGCTGATTTGGTTTTTGAATGCAACAAGATTAGGAACAAATAATGTATCAAAAATGGCCTGTTGTATATTCATGCCATTATGCTTCAAATCCTGTTATCTGATTGGTTGAAATCGGTTTCCTCTGATCTGGTCCCAACTTTGAAATTAGGCCCCAACGGCTCCTTTCCAATAAGCAATCTATTAATCAAGCTTCTTTATTTTCAACTACAATTTACATTTCAATTTCAGTACAACCATTCAGGAACGGATTGATTGACTGAGGCCATGCGTTCTACAGAACAGTGCCATCTCGCAGAACGGCACATTCTTATGGCTTCCCAGGTCCCAGGCAGTTACCTATAGCGCTGACTTCCCCCCGCCCCCCCAAGACTGATTCACACTTATATGGTTTAAATTAGTATGACTGCCAAGGCCACATCATTTACCAAGACATCTGAGCGAAGCCAGATATCTTGGTAAATGATATGGCCTTTTTGTCCCCTTACAGTATAATTGATGTGAATTAGTTTTTTTATTAATCCAAATCTTTATTGTAATTAAACAACTTTTCATTGATTAATTAAATTAATTAGAAATTTGTTTTCTGAATGTCGTTCTTTCAAGTTGATTATATATAAAAATGAATTTGACTTTTTTTGAATGGAATTACTGAAATAAAAACTATTTTTCTTGATATTCTGAGTTTTTGAGAAGCACCTGAAGATCATCTTCATCGCTCGTTTCCATTTGCGTGATTCTGCATGTTTACCAGCAGCTCACATTAACCTCCCATAGCACAACTTATGCATGTTTGGATTATTTCTTCCTGCTTACATTTAAGATCATTTTAAAGTTCATTATTAAGCTTTGTTTTTTTTATTCTGTGAAATTGCATTTTAACAATCAATTTAAGTGACTTCTTTCCTTTTTGTTGATTTGTTGCACTTCCTTAGCCACTAACCACCGTTTTAGGGAAACTAGTTTGTTTTTTTTGTTTTCTGAAAAGTCTGCAACACTGCCAAGATAGGAGGGTCCTATGAATAGGCTCCCCTATCTATAGCCTGCTCAGAAATGTTTTTCACATCCAACAGAAGTTGACTGCTGACAGTGACGACAATCCATTAAGGTTTAATTGATTAGCAATATGTTCCAGTGATGACCTTAATATCTTAAATGTTTCCGCTGTGGCTAACCGTCCAAATGTCCTCTGCTGATACCTGCAGTCACTCCTGTTGGTATGTGTGTCTACCTCACTGTGCTGTTCCCATTACAGACTGTTGCTGCTGTGGTGATGGGTGGGATGGAAGCTGTATTTTGTGCTCTTTCTGTTGTGGTGTGAGGGTCTTTTTTTTTTTTTTCTGGGCTGTGTTAATTTTGTTGTATTGATTACTTTTTATTTTGCAACAGACTGTCGCTTTTGTGGTTCATCACCATGATCATTGCATGGACTAATTTTTCCTTTTTGCTCCTCTCCTCTTTTTGTCCTCCCCCCTCCTCCCACTCATCTTTCTTTTCCTCCTCTGCGTTTCCACCCTTTTCTGTCCATCTGTGATAATGACCAACCACGCCACACTTTGTCTTCCTTCCTTCTCTCTGTACCTGTCCTTTGCTCTCTTGCTTATGGCAGCCCCCCTTGCGTTCTCTCTTGCAGCAGCGGCAGCGGCCGCTCAGGGCCCTCGCCTCATAGCAGCCCCCGCAGGTCAGGTGTTGCAGCCACCGACACTCCGGCCCCCGACGCCGGGCGGGGCACCCATCATGAACCTCATAAGGCCCACTCAGATGGCTGCCATGCTGCCCAATGGCACCCCCACCTTGGTGCCTCCCACACCGGACGGCGGACTAATCTACACCACCCCTTACGACTACCCCTACGCCTTGGCACCCACCTCGTTGCTGGAGTACCCCATCGAGCACAGTGGGGTTCTAGGTAAGAGAGCCTGGGGAAGCTTGGGTACAGCGGCCAACTTTAGCCAGCCCGGACAGGAGGGCAGCTTTTTTTACCCCGGCATCGGGTTACTGGACGCAGCTTCCATGAGCCACAATCAGGACTTGTTGAAAGGTAAATATATTGTGTCCACCTGAAGATCAAAACAGATAAACTGACAGGGTGGATGTGCTGGTGGAGCTCTTGGTGATGGGATGACCAGCAGTATGGCTCATTTGGACACTTCAGTAAACTGATGGGGGACAAACGTTACAGTGAGAACGCTGGGCTGTTCGTTTTACTCTTTTTACTCTTAAGTGAGGTTATTTCAGCGTTTCAGTTCCACTCTGGCCAAACAAATCCGCTCTCAGGTTTACATCGCCTCTTCTCTGCAGGGTTTTATAGCAGAATCTGCCTCAGTATGAAGTGAGGCACACTGACAGAAACACACTTTCATACATGCAGCCTGCTCTCTAACCTTTTCATGCACTGGCCTGGAGGCATATTCAGTCTGGCGGCAGATCCCCTCGGATTTCTGCAGCTTTTGAAATCATTTCCGTGCGCTGTTCTCCGCAGGCAGGCCTTGATGCCTTGAGATAGTCCCTCCCTCACTCCCACTGGGGGTGTTCATTAAATTCCTCCACTCTGTCCTTTTTTCTTCTCCCTCCCTTCCTCACATTGTCTTAGCTTCTCCCTTGTTAAACTTGAGCTTTCGATGCCTCTACCTGACATCCCCTTAGTTTCTGTCAGGAGGGACAGTTAAATATTTAGCTCCACATATTATTCTTATTCTCAATGGTGCTTAAAGCTTAACACATCTGCTACCAAAGAGACATCTGCTGATTGTTCTGACATGTGCAGCATATGTTGTACTAAGTAAAGTAAACCCGGTTCCAATATTGAGACGAAAGAGGCCCAGTCAGTTTGTCGATCTTTGTTTGACATAAACTCCTCTAATGCCTCTAAGAGCGTGTGCCAGCAGCTTTTTTTTTACAGTTGATCTGGGCATCATGGGTGCAGCTGGGATCCATGTAGAACAGAAGGGGACAGCTGACTGGCTTTTCTCTCTTCAACTTGCAGGGTTACACCAGCTTAGTCCATTTTATTTACTCACACTATTGATTGGTGCCTTCAGCAACACACCTCTCACACTGACTCTACTCTGCTGCGTGCATTCCTGTATGCAGGCACTGCCAGGTCATTTGGTCCTGCAGAGTCTGCTCAGTGAATATAAAGTCTACACACCCCTGGTAAAAGGAGAGCAGGATGAATCATACCAGAAGTTTCATCTTTAATGCGACCTAAAACCTGTTTATCTCCAAAGAAAAACACAGCTGAAACCTTTTAGCCCTGAAAAATGAAATGTTCATTAGGTGGCGGGGCTTTGGCTGCTCCGGTCCAAAAGGTTAATCCTCCTCTGAAGCTTTTTTGTTGTTGATTTTAGATGTTTAGTTTGGGTGGGTGTGAAGCTTTAGCTTTCTAGATGTTAAGTTTGTGCCAATATTCCCGGTTTATGGAGCCGTTCATTCTTATCTCAGCCTCGACTAAAGTAGAATTGTTGCAAAGCATGATGCTACCCTGACCTTGCTTCATTGTAAGCATTGCGGTCCTTTTATGATGTGAACTATAGTTTTATAATTAAACATACATTTTTTAATTAAGGATAAAAAGTTCAACATTGATTTTGACTGACTGATCTCGAAATATTTCTCATCTCATGCACACCGCTAGTATGTATAAGATACTTACTAGATGTTGCTTTGGGCCTTTGGCCTCCTGCCTGAGCAGTTTTTTCTTCATCTTTTTGTATTTTTTGATGAGATGAGCAGCTTGGTTAATGTTTTTGCCCCAGAAAAAATACTCGAGGGCTGGTTAAACTCCCGCAGCAATGTGTCGCAGTGAGCTTTTCGCAGGTATGACGCAGATATTTTTGATTTATGCCCAATTTTGAAGCATGGTCTGCGCTATGTTATTGCATGCCACAACACAAGAGGGACAATCACGAACTAGCTGTGGATCTAGATACGGCCGAGACAGTGAGGAAGAGGATAAATGAAAGGGGCAAGTTTGTACGATAAAGGAGGGGGGATATGAGGGCGAAAAAGTGCGGGGTTCCAGGTGGAAAAAGGGTCCCAGCGTTCTCGCGCACCTCGCTCTTCCAGCTGGTCCATCTTCACAAGTCGTTTTCTGCATTGGCGGTCATACAAAACAAGCTGGTAAGGTACCAAACAGGAAATAAGCTTAGTGTAGAGCGGATGTAGATTTGACCAATGAGAGGCCTCCTGTCTGCGGTCACGTACAATTTTGGACGGTAGGGGCGGGGGCATATCTGCTTTAACTGCGACACACGCAGACAACCTGGTTTCTGAGTATAAACCAGACTTTAGCTTAAACAAAGAGGGCTAACCTAGAGAAGGCAGGCTTAAAAAAAATGATTATTTTACCTTTAGGCTACATTTCATGTGAAAAAAAAATCATCCTTTTGCCAGAGATGTGTGGACATTTTTAATTCACTGTAAATAGTTGCATTAACTTCAATCCAAAACCTGCTGATAACACTGAGAACAACATCCTGTCGAGTTTCGACGTCAGATAATTACGCCCGTTTCCTCTAGGAGATTTGTTTTTGTTTTTTTAATCCCTGCACACATCACTTTTTATAATAAGGCTTGCATATCCCACATCGCGCAAACAGTTTGTTTGTGTCATGCATATGAAGCCGTGTCAACCTCTGCAGCAGGGGGAAAATCAGTTGTGACAGATATAGGTGGGAAAATGACGGGCTCTGCCATGAGTGAGCAGATTGACCAGGAGAGAAATGGTGAAAGCTGGAAGGAGAAAATGAAGTAGAGGAGGAGAGGCAGGTGGTGTCTGCCACGATTCAATTACCATCAGAGCTGGATTGGATTTCCCCACCTTTCAAAATAAAGAGACAAATTTCTCTTGGTTCCCTTCTGGATCCCGCAGGGAGATTCACATTATTCCTGTAGACAGCCCAGCACCCCCAACCCTTTACCACCTCCATGTATCTCTGAGCACTGTGGAATTCTACTTCTTAAGTTATAACATTTTTAAAGCAAATCTCCAAAAAGATGTATTATTTTTTTTCTACCAAGTTTTTCTACATGTAAAGAAAAAGATATGTATTGTGTATATGTACCATATTCTGTATTATGTTCAGTGAATAGTGTAATCCAAACATTATTAGTCCTGATGGTTAAAATGTGAATGTTATTACTGTAAAAGATGACTGTTTTTTCCTTCCTCAAAGCAAACGGTTTCTAACCTTGTGGACCTGTTACGATCTAGGTGCAATGGCTACTAAAGTGAGACGGCATGACACGCGGGTCCATCCTTACCAAAGGATTGTGACCGCTGACAGAGGTCAGTTTAGTCTCCTAGCTACTCTTTGCTATTGATTGATGCATTTATATGATTATTATGCCTATTATGCCTCACTGCCTTAGTCAGAAATGTGTACATTACCTGTATTGTGTTTTCATTGTTTTTTGCACAGGAGAATCTCTCATTTGGAATAGGATTGAAAAGGAAGTTCATTTATTTTAGTAAACCAGTTCAGAAAGTTACATCTTTATGTCTTATAGATCCATTACTGGCAGAGTGATGCATTTTGATTGTGGCTTACAGCTAATAAAAACACCAGAGTGAAAATGACATAAGGTCCATAAGATTTTAAAACCGAATTATGGAACCAGTGAAAAGAGTCTCCATGATCTGTAAAGTTTGCAGATTTTATACTTGATCTGGATTTCTGCAAGATTTACTGCATGAATGTGATTTGATATGAGGGAGATCTGCTTGTGGTTCTACTGATGTGTTCAGGAAACCTAGGTTGTTTCAATTATTGGCTCTCAGCTGGTTTCTTGTTGGCTCTGATTTGTGATCCCGCCTCTGACACCATTGGTTCTCAATGAGGTCAGCACAGTCAGCTGGCCAGTAAAGGACATGATGAAATAGCCTTTTAAGCAGCAAAGTTTGTTTTTTTTAAATGAAATACAAAATGTTTCCCTTGTTCTGTTGCTATTCATCAGGGTTAAACACCTGAGATATTACTGTCAGCTAGGCAATGTAAAGTTAGCTTAAGCATAATTGTATGAATTATGTGATTTTGAACTTATATAAAAAAACAGCTTTTGTTGTTTTGTTTTTTCCCGTGAGAGAAACTGCAGTTTAAAATCTACCAAACGTATTCTCTCCATTCAATGTTCCAATAAAATGCTTGGAAACATACATTTTCTTTAGCAGGAAACATTTGTGACTCATTGCGTTTTTGTTTGCTGTAAGCCTCATCATCAAATTGAACAGAAAAAAAGACTTTTATCACTCTGTTTGTATTGACTCTATGGTTTATTCTGGACTGAATCATTGAACTTCTCAGTTCTATTCCAAGTTACTGAGGTTTGCCTGTAAATCAACACACCTGCTAAATGGTTAAGTGTTGTTATGCACATTTTGTTTACATGTAGTACTTAAAAACAACAGACTGTGTTTAAATCAAAGCTCAGGCAAAAGCGATCTTAAGAGATTTGGCTCATGCAGCTGTGAAGCTAAAAGCGATGAATAGTTATCAGGCAGTGTTTTAAGGTGTAGAATGACATTCCTCTGATTAGAGACAAAAAAAGGAGCAGGTTTGCTCCCATCCATGATTTATCTCCTCTGCTCATAAGGAGCAAAGGAGGAGTTTTTCTATACTGTATCTGAGAGTAGCTGCGCTGCTACCAGCCGCCATTTTCACCATGGGATTATCATTTCTTTGGGATTATTTTTCTAGAAAAATAGAGGCGCACAGACTTTAGTGGAGGTAGCTTGCATTCTTTGCAGTGTATTGCAAATCTATTAAAATAAAGCTAAAATCCTTTTTTTTTTAAATAAATATATATATTTCAGTTGTACACGAGGTACTGTCATTTTATATTTGGAACATTTTATATCAAATGTATTTATGGTTTTGTGTATATTTATATTATATAAAAATATACTGCAAAATAAAGAATCAGAAAGCATTGATTCATCTATTTATTGCACATTGAGCCGTTATTTCACCACGTAGCTTTAGTTTTTTTTTTATCAGCTTACCACTAATCACACTGTTTGTGAAAGACACTAAACCACTAGATTTTTGTTCATCTTTGTCTTTTTTTAATTTAGTTTTATTTTCGGCTTTACTTTGCTTCTGTTTTGTGTTTTTTCGGGGCAGTTTGCGCTTAAATAAACCCAACCGCCTAGCTACCTGATTCAGGGAGTGTGGCTTAGCATTTTGGGGGGGATCATGATGGCGTCATGATTTTCAGATTAGCTGGGTTCACCTCATAGCAGCTGGGGGAGGGGGGGGATGGCCACATGTGAGATTGCATTCATTTTATTGTTAAAATGATGTCATTCCAGTCTCTCCTTGCTGACACTAATATCCTTTCTATCTTTTTTTGTTTCTGTTTGTTTTGTTTTTGTTTCTAACCACCTAGCCGCCACCGGCAACTAACACATGACCTTCTGACCTCTGAACTCTTCACCCAATGACGAGCCGCCCCAAGCCTGCCTGCTGATCAGTTAACTGGTAATTGCCTTTTGCTAGCCTCTCGGACGCAAGTGGCAGAGAGAGAGGCGCCTGCCCGTACAGTTACCCTAACACGTTCTGACAAAAGATAGAAACCAACGCAGAATCTTCACTGAAACGCAACAAAAAAAAACAAAAAAAAAAAACAACCAACACAGCTGTGGATTATTCATTTTTCTCCTCTGTTCATTAGTTCAGTTCCCATTCTTTCTCTTTCTTTTTCTTCATGAATCATGCACCGGGTGGATCTGTTTGTCATATTACTCATGAATCTGCACTGAATTATAAAGCAATAAAGACCCCACCCCACCCGCCCCAAACACCCGCCGACCTGCCTGTAAATGTTCTGATTAGGTGACCTCACTCGTTCTCCATCTGCAGTCTGAGACACAAACCGTTTCTGGTTTCAGAGTGACGACATGATCACCCCCAAATTGCCCCAAAACCTTTCGTGTTAGAACACCCCGCCCACCCTCACCCTGTTCAGACCCCCGCCTGCAGCAGCGGACAGAGAAACAGAAGGAACGGGAACAGTCACTTGCATTAACGTGTTTAATTTCTGTCATTTTTTTGCCCCTCCCCTCCTTCCCAACATGTATTTCAGTTGTTGAGCTTGTAATTATGAGCTGACACATTCTGGGTGTGCCCCTCTAAAAGGCTTTCTGTCTGGTTTTTTTTTTTGTTTGTTTTGTTTTTTTAAAGCATGGCTTAAATGATTGCTAAATGAGCTTTTTTTATGATTTGTGTTTTTTTCTGTCTTGATTTAATGCTTTTCTTTTTATTTTCACTTTATTGTTTTTTATTTTTTGGTTCAGATTGGACTAATTAGCTTCAGTAGCTGAAACAAAGCAGGTGGTTATCTCTGAAAGTCAGGACAGAGTTTAGTGTTTGAGGCTGAAAATGAAAGGCGTGACGGGAGGGTTAGTGTTTGGGTTGATGGGTCTGTGTGTGTGTGTGTGTGTGTGTGCGTGTGTGTGTGTTTTGATTAATACTACAATGAAAGTGGAGTGTGCTGAGGCTTTGGGGACATGGGCCCCTTTCACACTACATCCACTATCCAGTGCCTGATGTATTTTAGAAGAATATCTCGATGAGTTAGCTGAGCTGTGATCACAAAGATTAAGAAAAGAAAAAAAAAGTATTGTGTGCATATTTAGCCAAAGGGTTTTCAGTGAATGATATATCTGCAGTTATGCATCTGTCTCGCAGAGGGCTCTCTTTGTGATTTTTAAAGTTTTGGTTTTCTGCCTTCAGCTGGAGCAGACAGATTTCTGACCCTTTACCCCTCAGTTTTATGTCTTCTTATCTTCCTGAGGTGTAAACAGGTGATTAACACTAAATTACATGCTACCATTACAGTAATGCTCGTTTAGTGCTAGGCAAAAAGACACTCATGACAAACAAGAGGTTTTTTTTTTTTTCTACTGTAGAATTTTGGCCTATTTTAGCAGATTTATTCCTCCTACAGTGGATGTTCTGTTCCTTTTAGTTTTCTATTTAGTTATATTGTTTTGTTCTCTGTCTGTGTGTATAAGTTGGGGCATGAGGTCGACATAATCCTGACCTTTCTGCATATTATCCTTTGAGTTATTTTACTAATGAAACCTAACATATGCCAAACCATTCAAAGTGCATCCACAATGTGTCACACCTCCCTCTGATGGTAGTCCAGCTCTGAGCCCACAATCCTTTGTTCAAATCTCAAGAAAAAATAGGATGTGAAAGCCATGCCTGCCTGTTCAAATTGCTTTATACATACGTCTTATATATATCTATAAATATCTATAAATATATAAAAATGTAGATACCTGTCAATGCATATAAAATTACAGAAGAGAACAAAAATAGAGAATTTTACAGGGTGCTGGAGATGAGAAAAAAAGTTTAAAATCTATTTTTGGCAATTTTAGCTTTTGATACTTTACTTGCAGTTATAAAATAATAATGAAAAAGATACAAAAAAATGTTTAGAAGGAAAACAGAACGTAAGTGGGGAAAAGTGCTGTTTCCTGGAAAGTAATCGGAAAATGAAGACCAGAACCGGCGAGATCCGAGCGAGAGACGCCTAAATGGGTCAAATCAAAGTGCCTTATCAACAGTGGTTTCTGTTTTTTAGTATTCCAGTTGTGTTTTTAGAAAAAAAAAAAAAAAAAGATATCCAGCACCCACCAAGATGGCGCAGAGAGGAACGGGAAGTGTTACACGCTCTGAAAAGACGAGCTGGGCAGCTCCCACCGTAGGGCAGCGCGGCCCAAGTTACTCTATGCAAAAAGAATAGCAGTCGTTTTGACCAGCTAAAATATGTGCCATGGTTTTTGTCTTCCTGAAATGATTTTAAGTTTTTCTTTTTTCCTTAACTTGATGGCCCTTTACTCCTGCTGTACGAGCAGATCCTTTTTTTTTTTTTTTCGATTTTATTGATGAAATGAATTGTTTTTTTGTTTTCTCTTTGATTGTCTAACTTCTTTGAACAAATCAAACTGCCATTAGCAACCAAGTAGTCTGCCAGAAGTCGTTATGATGAGCTGAGAACAATACAAACCGTTCAGCGAAACAAGTAGGAAAGTGTTTGTTTTAACAGCTGCATCCGGTCCACATATCTCTGTCTCAATTTGACAACAAACCATCAGTACAGTAATGAGATTTCTAATGGACTAAGGAAGCACTGGGTAATGAAACCAGCACCTGCTTCACAGTCAGATAGTTTCCAGTTATTGAAACGACTGACAGCTTCTTGCTGAAAGGTGAAATGAAATTGACAAACTCTCGGATCTAACAGAGCCGTCGGCAGTCTTTTTGTCTCTCTCTCTCTCGCACCGTGCTGTTACACCCAAAGGTCAATGATTTTATTTTTCCTTCAGTGTTATGATTTTTAAATTGAAATGCAATATTAAAGTGGAGAAAAAGATGGCAAATCAGCATTTGACAGTATTAAGAAGTTTCCCTCTGCAATGTTCCAACATGCTGTGTCATTGTGAAAGGCTGGATAAGTCCATCAGGTGAAAGGTTGACTCTATACCTACCGTATTCTCTCTGGCCTGCCTACTACATGTATGATAATGTAATTAACAGCCATTGTTACAGGTTTATAATGTATTTTTCTAATCTCATTTTATATGTATGTTAAACATGTTTGAGTGTTTTTTTTTTTCTTATGAAACCCACAGCACCCTTCCTCCCCCCCTCCCCTCCTCCCACCACCACCTCTTCTCCATCTTGACCTGTCTCCTGTGGGGAGTGTTGCCTTCTCTCTGTTAGATTTTTGTTTTCTTGCCAACTCCCAGCTTGTTTAACTCATTAGCTACTTTATTAGTTTCCTTGTCATAAGTATTTTTACATGCTTGCATTTAGTTTTCATGGTGTATGCTGTTATTTTTCTTATTAACCTCTTGGCATTTATTTTAATAAAACATTCTTAGTAAGAATTTTACTAACTTGCTGATATTTTTGTCTTGTGTTTTTAACCTGTTCTCATGAATGTTATTACCCTGGTCTGGTTCACGGACTAACACAATTAAAACCAGCAAATGGCCACGACTTTTACTCACAGACGACACGCACACATACACACACAGACTAGCTGGAAAGTGCACCCTGGAAAGGGGCTCCCTCACCGCTGCTCTCACAGTCTCTGCTCAATCCCAACTGCTGCCCTGCCGGTCGTCTCTTATTAGACCGCTCTGTTAGTCGTCTTGGGGGTGTAAGCTACTTCAGGGCACCGCTTATACTTCCGGGTCAGCAGCTCTTTCTTAACCAGCTACACATGACCAGTTAAATCTAGATCTATCCATTGTAGATCTAAAAAATGTCATTAAGTCCTTTATAAATTTGAAGTGAGTAGTAATTTCCAAGAATATTCCACCTTTAACGTTGATAACCTGAAAAGTGTAACTGAAAAATAAAGCTAATCTGGCAAAAGGAGACATTGATGAAATGAGTTCTACACACCATAATGTTTTTTTTTTTTTTTTTTTTTTTTACAAAGTAACCGTGCAGATCTGGACACAAATCTTCTATAAACAGATTTTTGTTTCATCCTTTATTATAAATCTAAAGCTTTGGATCAAATGTTTAATATTTTAACAACATTGCAAAGGGAAAACAATACCCCATTTTTAAGTACAGCGGTGGTCGCATCATGATGGGGATTAATATTCCCTAAGGTGTTTTTTTTTTTAAGTGAATTAGATCAGTTCCACATAGCAGTCATTTTTGACCCACATTAAATTTTCCTCAGGATTGATTTCAAGAATGCATCCAGGCCAACAGGAATTAACTTCAAGAGAAAAAAAAATCTAAGTTTTTGAGACAGCCAGAATGCAGAGCTAAACCTTTGGTGTCACCTTGGAGACACGTCCTCCTGATGAACACT